ACCATTCTAGATACCATTAAGAACATCTGTGATCCATGGGAGGAGGTCAGTGTATCAATATTAACAGGAGTTTGAAAGAAGTTGATTCCAACCCATGGGAAAGATTGTGTTCGGATGTTTAGGTCTTTAATTAATGTTCCGTATACTAGAGATACCAGTTCAAAAATCCAAACTTCAAGTTTTCCTTTACCAGAGTTGCAAATTGAAAAATCAAAATTTCCTTAAGGTTTCAGATTCAATTTATTCTATTTGTAAATTTTGTATTTTTAAGTAAAAAATAAAAATCATACCTCTTGAGGCCTTTGGAAAACATTTGATCAACTCAAATGGAAGACTAAGTCCCCTTTACTTAACAATTAGTCCTACTGAGAAAGACCTTTAAATACATTCCCTTCAACATTTAAATTGAATCTATAAATTTGGTTTATTTAATTTTTAAAATTTGTTACTATTTTTTATTGAGGCAAAATACGCATAACATAAAATTTGCCATCATAAACCATTTTTAAGTGTATAGTTCAGTTAAGTTAAATACATAGATAACGTTATGCATCCATCACCACCATCTATCTCCATTATTCTTTTCCTTTTGTAAAATGGAAACTTTCCACCCAGTAAACAGTAACTCTTACTTTCACTTTTCCTCCAGCCCCTGGCAATGACCATTTTTCTTTCTGTTATTATGATTTTGACTATTCTAAGTACTTTATGTAAGTGGAATTATGCAGTATTTTTCTTTCTATGAATGACTTCTTTCACTTAGCATTCTGTTCCCAGAGTTTATCCCTTCCTTCCACTCCTGGATGTAAGCAATTCTCCTGCCTTAGCCTCCGGAATAGCTGGGATTACAGGCATGTGCCACCATGCCCAGCTAATTTTTGTATTTTTAATAGAGACAGGGTTTCTTCATGTTGGTCAGCTTGGTCTCGAACTCCCGACCTCAGGTGATCTGCCCGCCTCAGCTTCCCAAAGTGCTAGGATTACAGGCATAAGCCACTGTGCCTGGCCGATTTCCTTTCTTTAGAAGGCTGAATAGATTCCATTATATGTATATATTGCATTTTGCCTGTCCATTCATCTCTTGATGGGTACTTGGTTGTGCCCATGTTTTAACTATTGCGAATAATGTTGCTATGAACATGGGGGTGGTCCAAATAGCTCTTTGAGTCCCTGTTTTCACCTTTATCAGATACAGGTAGAAGTGGAATTCCTGGATCATATGAGAATTCTATATTTAAGTTTTTGAAGAATTGCCAGACTGTTTCCACAGTGGCTGTACCATATTGCATAGTACTCAAGGGTTCCAGTTTCTCCACATAATTGCCAACATTTGTTATTTTGTTTTTGCTTTTGTTTTGATAGTAGCCATCCTAATGGGTGTGAGTTGGTATCTCATTGTAGGTTAGATTTGCAATACTCTAATGGTTCCTGATACTGAGTATCTTTTCATGTGCGTATTGGCCACTTGGATATGTTCTTCGCAGAACCCTCTGTTCAAGTCATTTGTCCAATTTTGAATCTAGTGGTTTGTTTGTTTTTGTTGTTGTTGAGATTTAGGAGTTCTCTATGTATTCTGGATATCAGTCCCTTATCAGATACATGATTTGTAAATATATTCTCCCATTCTGTGGGTTGTCTTTTTCTCTGTTGACAGTGTCTTTTGAGGCACACATCTTAAACATTTCAGTAAGTCAAATTTTTCTGTTTTTTCTTTTGTGGCTTGTGTCTTTGATGTCATACATTGTTATTCTTGGTTTTTAAAAAGTAGTTAATATATCTGACTAGGAAGGCTTCAACCCAAATTTTCCCCAGCACTCTATTGGGCCTTCAGTAGTCATCAAATATGTGCAACCATTGCTAGCCACTGGGGACATATCTCTGAACAAAACAGAGCAAAGGACAACAGTGAATAAGACAGACGATGTCCCTTACCCTCATGGAGTCTACATGCTTGTAACTCTAAATTCATTCAACTGGAGCAAAGCTAATAAAGTTTTAAATGAAGAGAATTTCAAGTCAAAATTTTTACACCTTTCAATTTAAGATTGCAAGTCTAAAGTCCATTATACATTTGAATTAGAGTCACAAACATATCTGTCTAATTAGTGTCTCTAACCTGTCTGCTATGAAAATACCAAATATATACATTTTAAAAGCCTGATCAAAGAATACTAATGCTATAAAATCGATTTGCTTTATTGTTTACTTAATTCCAGCTTTTCTAATATTGAATACTGGGTTACAAAGCTGAGCTTGCTTGATGGACAACTCATGCCCCAGATACATGATTGTCTGAAGTAGGTTTAGGGATCTGAAGCTGGGCCCGGGGACATGGGGGTTGTATATGACCAGAGTGACTCTTTCTATAATGCAGATGGACAGACTGAGCCTGGTATTAACAGTGGCTATAATAACAGGGAACTCCATGCTCTTCAGATTGAACTGGTTTCACAATACACTGTTTGCTAGACTTAACCCTCCCTTCATAGCACTGTTCAGCATTGTCCCAGTTTGAATGGATAAATTACTTCACACCCATACCTACTTTGCTATGTGATCTGATACAGCTGACTCAGCCTAGGCACCACCTGATTCTTCCACATCAGGCTAGTTGGCCATGAACACTGGCTCATGTCAACCGCCTGCAAGGTCTGCATTTACAGGTGGCTGAGTGGAGCTGTCGCTTTTCTCCTCAGATGTCCATCAACTCACCTCCCTTTTTTCATAAGAACAATTAATATTTTCTTAGTTTAGCCAAGTGTGATTCAAACTTATTTCCAGAAAATTCTTAGCCAACCTCTCCCTTCAAACAGATTTCCTCTTCTGTATAGGAATTCTAAAAATATCATTGCTTCTTTGATCCAAACCCTTCAGCAGTTCACACTGTGCTTGGAATCGAATAGAAAACGTTTACCGTGGCCTGCAAGTCCCAGCATGATCTGGTTCTGCACTCCTTCCATGACCTCATCATAAACCTCTCTCTTCTTGCGCTCCAATTTCAGCCACAGTGGCCTTTTTTCCACTTCTTCCAGCAGAAGTCAAGATTTCTTCTACTGCAGGGCCTTTGCGTAGACTGCTCCCCTTTTCTGAAACACCATCTCCTCCACTCTTTGCTTGGGTGGCTCCTCATGCTGCACGTCTCAGCTCAACTGTCATTTCTTCAAGAGATTATTGTTCTTCATAGAACTTAGCACAACTTCTGCGTGTATTTGCCTGCAGTTTCTCTTCCCTGCTAGATTGTTTGCTGCACGGGGTCATGTGTGGTGCTCTGTTTGCTCAGCACCCATCCCAGGGCTCGCATATGCTAGACAGTCAATCATTGTTTGCAGAATGAATGACTCTAGCAGTTGCCACAGCAGTCACCATTAGCCTTAAGTCATAGCTATTATAATCATCCATATAACCACTTTTGGCTCTTGGGAGGTACCGAGTAATTGTTGAATTGACATAGCTCAATGTCACTTCTCCTACATTCATTAATACAATTTGTTGTTATCTCTATGGTCCTTAACACCAGCGGTCCCCAAGCTTTTCCACACTGGGGACGGGTTTCGTGGAAGACAGTTGTTCCTTGGACTTGGGTGGGGGTAGGGTTGGAGGGCAGATGGTTTCAGGATGATTCGAGTGCATTCTACTTACTGTGCACTTCATTTCTTTTATTATTACATGGTAATATATAATGGAGTAAGTATACAACTCACCGTCATTTAGCATTGGTGGGAGCCCTGAGCTTGTTTTCCTGCAACTAGAGGGTCCCGTATGGGGGTGATGGGACAGTGCAGATCATCAGGCATTAGATTCTCATAAGGAGTGCATGACCTAGATCCCTCCAAGAGTGGTTCACAGTAGGGTTCGCGCCTCTATGAGAATCTAACGCCGCCACTACGAGAATCTAAAGTGGCCACTAATCTGACTGGAGGCTGAGCTCAGGCAGTAATGCCAGCCAGCAATGGGGAGCAGCTGTAAATACAGATGAAGCTTCACTGCCCACCTCCTGCTATGCTGCCTGGTTCCTAACAGGCCATGGACTAGAAGCTGCATGGGGTCCATGGGGTCCATAAATATCTGTGGTGTATGTGGCCTGGGAATTGGGGATACCTGCTTTATACAGGTTAGCTTTCTATCACTTCTAAAGCTATAATCTTTCTGTTCTTAGCAGTTCTCTTGCAGGAAAGAAGACATTGAACTAAATGTGCCTTTTGGGGGACTATCCTTTCCTAATGAAAAAAAAAAAAAAAACCCACCACCACAGAACATTATTGAATTGGTTGACAGTAATACATTTTGATTATGTAAATATCAATTCCATAGCCTACTTAGTGATTATTTATTTATTTACCCTGGGTATCCCAAGAGGTAGTACAGTGGCCCCAGGTTATAGAGGGTGGCCCTGAGAGCCCGAATGAAGGAAGCTCTAATTCTAGATTTTATAATGCCTGTGACTTAACGCCATCCTGCTCTGCCTGCTTCTCCAAGATCCCTGCTACCCCCCTCCAAGAATTCAAGGCGTGAAATAGCACCAGATTGTTTAGAACTTCCTGAATCCTAACCAGTTAGAACCCACTGGCTTGTTTTTGCGATATCACTCTGTTAAAAGTATATCCCCGTAAAGATGTAATAGCCGTGTCTCTGCATCTAGGCACCTGTGAATATGAAACAACAGTATAAATATGATTTTGAGCGTCGCACTGTCACAGATGAAAAATGGCACAAACATGTCAAATAAAATGCAGTGCCGAAGAAGGAAATCAGACTTATTTTCGTCGCTATTTCCTGTACCAAAGCGTTTTTGGAAACCCAAATCGGGGAGATAACCGTTTTTGAATGAACAGCAGTGGCAGAGCGTGGTCGGGGTTAGCAGCAACGTGGCTGGGCGCCTTTAACTCGGCGTAACCTCCGGGGCCCGGGCCCGCGTCCCGGGCCCAGCGCCCGGGCCTGTGCGGCGTATTGGCCCCTCCTCCCCTCGCGCGCCGCGCGCATTGTTGTCCTTTAGCGATTGGTGGTTGGACCAGAAACAGCTGTGCAGAGCCTTGCCCTGTAAAGGGCTGCGGACCTGAATGCAGTGTAGCCGGCTGGCGGGGACTTACACCCGGGCTCCAGAGGGAGAGAGAAAGAGCTGCAGGCCGCTTGCATTACGTCTTCCAGGCTGCGTGGACCCGGCGCCCCGGCGTTGGCGTTTGCGGGGGAGCTCGCCGTGGCGCCCCCTCCCGCTGGCTCTAGCTTCCTTTGGGCTTGGCGCAGGTGGGCCAGGCTGGGCACCGCGGATCTCCCCGTTCCCACGAAGGCTGGCTCGCCGTCTCTCCGCGAGGGGGAGGGACCATCCTAAAAATATGTAAATATCCAAGCGCCAGCTCCAGGCTGGGGCAGCAGCCAAGGTCCCCGCGCCGCCGCCGCTGCCGGGTGCTTTACATGAAAATGAGAAGCCTGACGGGAACCGCGCTCTAACTTAAGGCAGCCTGGTGATTAGCATGAGACTGGGCGGCTGTCCTGCTTCCTGCCCTTCAATAGCCGTTCCGCGCGCTCGCGCCCGAGCCGCGCTGCCTCCGCGCGGGGGTCGATCGCAGGCTCGGCGTCCTTGGCAGCCATGGCTCCGTCGCCGCCTCGGCCAGTAAGTAGGAGCACGCTTGTGTAGGGGGCACGTGCGTGTCGGCGCACCCACCCAGCCACCCACCCGCGCGCACGCACGGCGCCCGGAGCCTCGGCAGGAGGAAGATTGAAGAGGCGCCGCAGTCGCGGGGACGGCGCGGGGCTCTTCCTGGATTCCGCAGGAGCCTGCCCGCCGCAGCTGCTGTCTGCAGAGCCTGCACGGAGCCGGTGCACACGCGTCCCCCGCTCGAGCCTCTGTGATGAAGACTGCCTCCCGGGGGCTGCGGGGGAGGCAGAGCCAGCCAGCGCCGGGGACTGCGGGCCGCGCGGCCGGTAGGCCCGCGGGGACACGACTCGGACACTGTCATCCCCACGCGGCGCGCTGAGCCGCCCGCCCCTCCGGCCTCCCGCACGCCCGGTCCGGGGTCAGCCCCGGAGGCCTCGGCTGCCTCATTTGTTTCGGTCTTTTGTGCCGTGGCTCCCAGTTGGCTAAGCACTCCTGCGCTGAATCGGGCCATTGTCTGCGCTCCCATTGCCTTCACGCTGCCAGTCTCGGCGCCCCCACCCCGCCCGCCCCCTCCCCGCCTCCTCCCGGCCGGGGAGCCTCCTAACGTGCCTTTCCCCCCAGGAATCTGGAAGCTATAAGCCGGGCGGATTGCAAATGAAGTGTAATGCATTGTGGGACGTGTGTAAAATCGGAGCCTTCGCCGTGGGGGTGTGGGGGGGCGTGGGGAGGGCCGGACCCGCCGCTGGCGGTGTAGACGCCGACGAGGAGGGGCTGGGAAAATGTGCGCAGAGTCCGCCCGGGTCGTGCCCGCCGTAGACTGATGAAGGAGCGCGCTGCGCCCTGGCGCTGAGGCCCCGAGGATCGGGGCGGCAGGTCGCCCTCCCCACCATGAAGAAGACCCGGAGCACAACCTTGCGGCGAGCCTGGCCTAGCTCGGATTTCTCGGACCGGGCCTCGGACCGCATGAGGTCCCGCAGCGAGAAGGACTACCGCCTGCACAAGCGCTTCCCCGCGGCCTTCGCGCCCCAGGCTTCGCGGGGCTACATGACATCAGGTTGGTTGGTGACCGCGTTTCTGCCCCTGGGCCGGGGCCGCGGGGCGGGCTCGGTACGCCGCGGCCCGGGTGCTTGGAAAAGAGGTCGGGCAGTGATGGATGCGATAAGTTATGGGGAAAGCAGGAAAAAATTAGCTCCCATCCACCATTTTGTACTTCCGCAAGATCCACAGCAGGCCCTCTCAATATGGGGTTGGAGAGCTATTAGTTAGGTAAAACGAGGGAGCGGGGACGAGCCGGGCGTTTTGGCTGCAGGGGGATAAATGACTGGGAGCCCTGGCGCTGCAGCCTCCTTGAGCTTTGTGGAGGATCCCGCGCCCAGGGCTGCCTGCGGTGCCAGGCTTGCGGGCTCCTGCATTGTGGCTGGTTATCTGAGTGGGTATTTCCAGCAGCCCCCTGCTCTCCAAAAGGGACAGGTTCCATGCGCGGTTCTGGATGGGCTGAGTCGGGAGAGTCCTGCAGACATCGCAGGCTCCTCTGATTTGCACGCAGAGAAGGGGTTGGAGCTCGCTGAATGCGTTCTGTGGGGGTAATGGTGCGGATGCTGATCGAATGCTCACATGATTCTGTGTGGATTTAACATATGTTGCTTTGAATTAGGCTGTATGGGAAGAATGGAGGCTGTATCATGTATTTGCATGTCAGACGGGAAGGACAAACAAAATGGAAAATGGAAAGGGGACGATTGAAAACAGATTTCCGCTTAAAATGCAGTGCTGTGAAAAGCCTTCCTGAAGGAGCCAGTTCTTTTTTTGGAAATTCAACGGGATGGCTTTGGTTTGATTTGGGAACCCAGGGATGAAATTCTTGAGAGAAATGCTGAAGGAGGAAAAGCCTGGAACCCTACGGTTGCCTTCTCCTTACTTCTTAACTACTTATATGTAATGATGTGTAAGGCATCGGGTTTTCTTTAGTTTTCATTCAGAGGAAAAATTTGATTTTCTTCTAAGCGCACTGTAATGGAAGAACCGAGGTTTTATTTTAAGCCACATGCTGTAACAAATCACCCTGAGCTCTGTCTTAACTGGGAAGATGGTTTTAAGCTTGTGGTTGGTACTTAGAGTCTCGCTTTACTATCTTTCTCCTAAATCAGCAAGGCCTTTTTCACTGGGGTCAGCATTTCATGCTGCAAAAATGCCTTGCGACCACATTTCCACGAACATAAAGCCTAAATAAAAGAACCATCTTTTTTTATTGCAAAATCAGGCGATGTAAGGATGTTGTACTATTTTGGCAATAAGGCTCCCTTGATTTTCCCTTTCATGAAAAGCCAAATTTGTAAAGGAACTGACAACTACAGTTTATCCCTCTGTCATTTAAGTCACTACTGTGGTTGCTATATTCCTCAGACTTGTGGCAGTAAATTTTGAAGCACACCTAAATCCAAACCTAACCTCAAAACACGTATGTACGTAAACCCATGTCAGATAATCCTGGGTTTCATGTACTTAGGGTTCGAATGTCTTCATTCCACACTTCACAGTTCCCCTTTCTTATACCTCCTAAGGAACCAGTCCTGATACCAAGGGTGAAGCCATACTAGGGCTGGTGGCCATCATTTCTTCAACAAACTGAAAGACTCTCTGTTTCATCGTTTCAGGCTCATTTCCAGGGAGCTAGCTGATTTTTTTTTTTTAATCTATCTTGGCATTACCTCATTACCACATTTTCATTCTTTGCAAAAGAACTTGTCTGCTGTTGCAGATACTGCAAGGCATTTTTGAGGGCTTGAGGAAGAAGCTCCTAATTGTATCTGATTCTCTTATTTCATTTCTTGAGCTGCAAACGGTAAGATGGTCCTATGGTGATATCCTCCTGAAACAGGAGGATAACCTGTTTCAGGTTGGCAGTTTTCTGTTCAGATTCAATGTTAGGATGCTGCCGAGAAACCTGAAGACCGAACGATGGAAGAAAAGTGCTGTCATTCATTCAGCATTTTATGGAGTGCCCCCAAAAAACAAAGTGCCTTGCTGGATTCTCATGGGGTTACAGGGCCGGATATCCCATGGTTTTTGCCCAGGGAGGGAGGCTTATCATTTATTCTTGATTTTGAATGTTAGCTAATACATGGAATAAGAAGGTGTCGCTGCTATGGAAGGAAATAGTAAACATGAAGACACACTCCTACAGTGAACATTGGGAGAATAGGTGGAGTCTTTCTCAGATGGAACTTTTTTGGGCATTGGATGGGGAGGGATGTGTGTCTTCATCTATTTCCTTTACAAAGATGGCTCCTTTCAACATAGGAGTGCTGATAGAAATAGATGGTATACTGAAACACTTGGAAATGATTTGTGAGATGTTCTCATCCTTTTAGGAAAGGTAAAGGAAATCCACTTTTATCAAGTTAGTGACTCTGGATACAGAGCCTTTGTCACATAAAATACAGTAGAAAATGAAACCACTTAGAAGCACGTGAGGCCTTTCGTATTTCTTCTTTCTGTTTGTCCAGCCATTTGGCTTAATTACTACTGGTTTTCTCATGCTTGATTTTTAATAAAAAGGGTTTTTGTTGTGGGTAAATTACTTGGGTTCAAAGGACAAGATAAGCCTTCCAGACATGTACTAAATGACTTAAAATAACTTCAGTTAAGAGACTATCTTTAGACCCCCTCCTCCAACAAATATTCCTGAAAATTTTAGGCAACAATCACTTAGTTTTAAACTTTAGGACATGAGAGAGCCTTGGGAATTTCAAGAAATAAATGTTAATCATTTTCCTTTTGATCTAGCATCCCATATCACACAGTAGGTGCTTCAAGCAGAATTGTAGACTTCTGTAATAGCTTTCTAATGAGACAGCACCATTTCAAACAGTCTTTTCTCCACTAATAAGTAATTACCAGTGTGAAATGTGATTTATAGTAATAGGCTTGACATTTAGCCTTGGCCTTTCCTATACCTTCAGGATAAACTGCACTTAAGCTCAAGAGGTTAGAGCGGGCACCTATAAACTAGTGAGGTCTTGGGAAGGATAGTTAGAGAATTTGGAAACTTTAAGTCTTGAAGACTATGCCTTCTATGACTGTTTAAGCTCCCAACTCATGCTACCAAATCTAAAGAAATCCTAAGAATTCATGAGCTTCCTAGCAACCGGTAAGTTCACAGGCCATGAGATGAGTTCATTGTTCATCTTGAATATTAATTTCCCAATGGTGGTTTGTGGGCAGAAAGGGGAAGATCTTACCTTTTGTTCAAATCAAGATGAATAATAAAAAGTACATGGCATCGTCTTAAGAAGAAGAGGGATTGGACCAAAGGGATGTGGGGTGATTCTTATGCATTTTCTAAAATTAGAAGTTACGATATTAATGAACTAGAGACAAAAGTAAAATTCCCCACAAAGGAGTAAATCTGTATAACGAATGCTTAGTGCTTTGTATATGAAAACCTGCTAATTTGTCTCTGTGAAATGATTTTCAAGGCCCCAAACCTTTTGTTGATAGGACTTTCTCTGTTCGAATTATGATGATGCTGTTGACTTTTAGTTTTCTTTACTCTGCCATGCACCCAGCCCTGGGGCTGGGTGCCTCTTTATATTCCATATATTAATGCTACTAGAGTTTTGGGGACATTCTTGTTGATCAAGTATGGAAAGTAATTTTTTCACTATATGGCTTCTACAGAACGTGATCCTTAAAAGCTTTGTTTATGCATGAGAAAGCAAAATCCTGGCCCATCTTAGTTTGATACTTGTCATTTTCATAACATCTTTGAGGAGGAAAGCCTGCGTCTTTAATACTATGGTTTTAAAGGCGTTGAAAAGAAAGATGAAACAAAAGCCCTATACTGACATTGCAAGAAAATTGAAAGCAGTTTTTTCTGTTGGGGAAGCATGGCCAGCACGTCACCTTGATTAGTTTATTAGTTTTCATTTTATAGAAACTAATTCTGGGGCACGTTTGACTGTGTGTTCCAGTTCCTCATGTTCTGTTATTTTAAGAGACATGAGGGTTTTCTGGGAGTGGAGGGTGGACACTGGAGGTTCTAATCTGGGCCTGCCACGAGCCAGCTGTGTCCCTGGCGAGTAATATGACCTCCCTCCATCTGTAATGAGTTCTGCACTTCCATGCTGCCATTACAGAATTGGGGTCCATAGTTGCTCTGTAATCAGCAAGTCCAAGACTTCTGAACACTTAAAAATATGTGGTTAAGACAAAACCTCTGCCCTCTTCTATTTTCTGGAGTCAGGTGCCTCCCGTATGTGGGAATAGTGCTCATTTTACAATACAGTCCTATTCCCTATCATCCTGAAATGTTATGTTAAATGTGTGCATTTTAGGACTCACCCTGGCGACCAGAGTAATGGGGGGGGGGGGAATAAATTAAGGCCTGGCAAGTTTTAATCATATGCAAGTTTTAATAAACAGCAACTTGTCACATCCCTTTCCTGCTTTGCAGAGATCCATTTTCAGCCCAGCCGCTCCAACTGTGTTTTAATTTGAAACTACCTGTGTTGACTCCTTTCATCAGGCAAGTGGAAGTGAGGAATATTACACTTGGTGGTGAATGACTTTATTCTTTATTTCCCTGGAGAACATGAGCGGGCTTACAAAAGGTCACCTCTCTTGGTATTTCAATATTTTTTACGTTCTTTCCAATGTTTTTATTTGGGGAAAAAAAAGGAATATGAGTATATTGTATAAAAACCTTAGCACTTCTGCACCTCCAGAGCAAATTCTGGCCTTAAATACTCTTACAACCAGAGGCTTAGGACAATTCAGACAATGGTATATTCTTTGGTACAGGATTGCTTATGCTGAGTGCAGGTTGTAACTAAAAGCAAAATCTGCTTGGACCCTTGCCAGTGGGTAATATGCTAACTTTTGAATTTAGGACATGCTTTTGTAAATCAGTCGCAGAGAGTGTGTGCTGCCTAATCCATAAGGTATAAAGCGGAGGTTCTAGTTTGTGAGAGTATAGATACAGTCTACCCCAAACTGACTGTGGCTATAGTAACACAAGGAAGAAAGGACGTGGGTAATTTTTTAAGAAGGGAG